TCTTTGGAAAAGTCTGTTCAGGTCCTCCACCTATTTTTTTAATCTTTTTTTTTTTGGTGTTGAGTCATGTGACTTCTTTATGTATTTTGGATGTTAACCCCCTATCAGTTAAATCATTTATGAATATATTCTCCTAATATTTTTGTTCTGTTGATAGTGTCCTTTGCTGTACAGCTTTTTACTTGGGTGTAGTCCCACTTATTTTTTATTTTGTTTCCCTTGTCCAGGGAGATGTGTCCAGAAAAAAATTGCTAATTCTTATGTTCAAGAGATTTTTGCCCATGTTTTCTTCTAAGAGTTCTATGGTTACATGTCTTTCATTTAGAGCTGTGATCCATTTTGAGTTTACTTTTATGTATGGAGTTAAACCGTAATCCAGTTTCATGCTCTTGCATGTAGCTGTCCAATTTCCCCAACATCAGTTATTGAACAGACTGTCTTTTCCCCATTGTATATCCATGGCACCTTTATCATATGTTAATTGACTATATATGCATGGGTTTATATCTGGGCTCTCCATTCTGTTCCACTGATTTATGGGTCTATTCTTGTGCCAGTACCATACTGTTTTGATTACTGTAGCTTTGTAATATAGCTTTAAGTCAAAGACTTTAATACCCCCAGCTTTGTTGTTCTTTTTCAGGATCAGGATTGTTTGAGCTATTTGGTGTCTTTTGTGGTTTTATACGAATTTTAGGATTATTTGCTCTAGTTAATTGAAAAATGCCATTGGTATTTCAATAGAGATTGCACCAAATCTGTAAATTGCTTTGGACAGGATGGCCATTTTAACAATATTAATTCTTCCTATCCATGAGCATGGGATAGATTTCCATTTACTTGTGTCTTTCATTTCTCTCATGAGTGTCTTATAGTTTTCAGAGCACAGGTATTTCACATCCTTGGTTAGGTTTATTCCTAGGTATTTTACTCTTTTTTATGCAATTATGAATGGAATTGTTTCCCTGATTTCTCTTTCTACTAATTCATTGTTAGTATATAGGAATACAACAGATTTCTGTGCATTAATTTTGTATACTGCAACTTTGCTGAATCCAATTATCAGTTCTAAAAGTTTTTGGTGGAGTCTTTAGGGTTTTCTATATATATAGTATCATGTCACCTGCAAATAGTGACAATTTTACTTCTTCCTTACCAATTTGGGTGTTTTTATCTCTCTGTTTTGTCTGATTGCCATGGCTAGGACTTCCAGTATTATTTTGAACAAAAGTGGTGAAAGTGGACATCCTTGTCTTGTTCCTGATCTTAGAGGAAAAACTTTTAGCTTTTTGCCATTGAGTATGATGTTAGCTGTAGGTTTGTCATATATGGCCTTTATTATGTTGAGGTACATACCATCTACACCTATTTTGTTGAGAGTTTTTGTCATGAATGGGTGTTGAATTTTGTCAAATGTTTTTCATCACTTATTGAGATGATCATAAGGTTTTTGTTAATATGATGATTGGTACTGATTGCTTTATGAATATTATACCATCCTTGCATCCCTGAGATAAATCCCACTTGATCATGATGGATGATCCTTTTGATGTGTTTTTGAATTTTGTTTGCTAATATCTTGCTGAGGATTTTTGCATCTGTGTTCATCAGGGATATTGGTCTATAATTTTCTCTCTTTTTTTTTGTAGTGTCTTTTTCTGGCTTTTGTATTAGAATGATGCTGGCCTCATTGAATGAGTTTGGAAGTACTCCCTCCTCTTCTACTTTTTGGAATACTTTAAGGAGGATGGGTATTAGCTCTTCTTTAAATGTTGGGTAGAATTCAGCTGTGAAGCCATCTAGTCCTGGACTTTTGTTTGTCGGAGTTTCTTGATTACCAATTCAATTTCATTACTGGTAATTGGTCTGTTCAGATTTTCTGCTTCTTTCTGGGTCAGTCCTGGAAGGTTGTGCTTTTCTAGGAATTTGTTCTTTTCTTCTAGGTTGTCCAATTTGTTGGCACATAATTTTTCATGGAATTCTCTAATAATTATTTATGTTTCTGTGGTGTCAATTGTAACTATTCCTTTTTCATTTCTGATTTTTTTAACTTGTGTTCTCTTTTTTTCTTGATAAGTCTGGCTAGGGGTTTATCTGTTTTATCTTCTCTCAGAACCAGCTCTTAGTAGCATTGATTTTTTTCTATTGTTTTATTCTTCTCTTTTTTATTTATTTCTTCTCTGATCTGTGTTATGTCCTTCCTTCTACTAACTAAGAGGTTGATTTTTCATTTTGTTGATGATTTCCTTTCCTGTGAAGGTTTTTAATTTGATATGGTCCCATTTACTTATTTTTGCTTTTGCCTGGGGAAACATATCCAGAAAAAACTAATGCTGATGTTCAAGAGTTTACTGCCTGTACTTTCTTCTAGGAGTTTTATAGTTTCATGTCTTATATTGAGGTCTTTAATCCATTTTGAGTTTATTTTTGTGTATGGTTTAAGACGGTGATTCAGTTTCATTCTTTTGCATGTAACTGTCTAGCTTTCCAGAAACCACTCATTAAAGAGACTGTCTTTTCCCCTGTTGTACATTATAGCCTCCTTTGTCATATATTATTGACCATACAGGTTTGAGTTTATTTCTGGGCTCTCTATTCTGTTCCTTTGGTCAATGTATCTGTTCTTATTTTGATTACTGTGGCTTTATAATATAGTTTGAAATCAGGGAGATGATCCCCTCAGCTGCTTAGGGTATTCAGGATTTTTGTTTGTGGTTATGCACATTTTAGGATTATTTGCTCTATTTCAGTGAAAAATGACAGGTATTTTGATAGGGATTGCACTGAATCTATAGATTGCTTTAGGCAGTATGGCCATTTTAAGAATATTAATTTTTCCTTTCCATGAACATTGAATAGCTTTGCATTTAATTGTGTCTTTTTCAGTTTCTTTCATCAATGTCTTACAGTTTTCAAAATACAGGTCTTTCATCTCCTTAGTTAAATTTATTCCTAGTTATTTTATTCCTTTTGATGCAATTATAAATAAGATTGATTTCTTAATTTCTCTTTCTTTTAGTTTATTACTTGTATATAGAAACACAACATATTTCTGTGTATTGATTTAGTATCCTGAGAATTTACTGAATTTATTTCTACTAGATTTTTGGTGGAGTCTCTAGGGATTCTATATATAGTATCATGTCATCTGCAAATAGTGACAATTTTCCTCCTTCCTTACCAATTTAGATGACTTTTTTCTTTTCCTTGCCTTCTGGCATTTCTTTAAGATTACTTTAAGAGAAAATGATGATTTAGGGATAATAAAAAGACCCAAAATTCCAGAGAGAAGAGAAATGAGATATCCACAGGGTCACTGAAAAGTTCCAACCTATTCCTGGAATGCTAGAGAGAGCAACCTTTTGTTGGGGTTTTGACATCCATGCCCACTGGTATTTCTGGCTTGCTGGCTTCTCCAGCACCCAGTCTGGGTTATGTGAAGGGGAAAGAAAACCCAGGAAGAAAACTTGCCACCATGTCTTTGGGCCCAGCGGTCCCTACCTAGTCTGCTTTCTCTTCAATGTTCCTTCTTCCTATGATCGTTTCATGTATAGTGGCCCAGGTTTTTCATTGTATTCAGGAGGAAGAATAAGGAAAAGTACATCTAATCCATTTTTCATAGAAGCAGAAATTAAAGGTATATTTTTCTTGCTTGACGTTGCCTTATCTTTTCACTGGTTGGCATTATTTATCTGCCCTTTTTTTATTAGTGGTTTTTCATTTTTAATTGAAAAATACCTCTTCATCTGCAGATTCTAAGCAAAGCACTGGAATGCATCTCCAGACTCATGGTCACACCAGCCACAGCCTCACCTCTCCTTAGAACACATCCTGTTATCCAGTGGCTCAGAATGAGTTGCAGCTGTCCAGGCACCTGGTATCTCGTGACAGTTCATTACCTTGGAAGTTGAGTTTCCTCTTCACCACAGCCTACCACTGGCCTTGCAGAGCCTTGGTACAACCAGAGATTTAATCTAGGTCTTCTTTGTGTTGTTTTTTCCTACTGAATAGTCAGTGGGTATAATTGCATGGATGAGCTTTGTAACTGTAATTTTTGTGCAGATTCACTCCCCTGAACTCTTGGCTCCATAAAGTCTGAACCCATTTACTTAGCCAATGGCAGTGGGACCAGCGGTGGCCAAGGTCCTCCCAACCTGACATCTCTGAGCAGAATGCCTCTGTGAGCCACACCAAGGTGCAACAGAGGTTGATGGGGGGTCCCAAGAGGAATCTGCTTCTTGCTTTCATAACAAGGAACTTGCACTGCTGTAGGGAGCAGGACTCCTACGAGTCACTGCTTTCAGACCCATGCTATTATACCCATTGCCTGTTCAACAAAAAAAAGAGAAAAGAAAACTGGATTAAATTTCTGGTGTTTTGATATGCCGTTGGATCAACAGGCCACTTTCTCCACGTGGTAGCTTCCCACCCCCATAAGGATCGTTTGTCCACCAGGAAAGACGAATTGCCTGTTTCTCTTGTGCTGGGGTACACCCAAAACTATTCCAAAGAGGCAGAAATATCTAGGAAAAAACAAGCAGAATGAAAACAATCCTGCCTGCCATTTACACTTGACCTGTAAGTATGGTGAACATTTATTCTTTCCTTACATTATGGGTCAAGGAAAAGATATGTTAGGGTTGAAAGAAGCATGCCAATATTGGCATCTTTAAAAAGCAGAATTATAAAAGCCAGGAAAAAACAAACAGCCACAGCATGTCTCCTGAGTGCACTTGTTTGTAGATTGAGCCTAGAGGCAGGCTTTGCAAACCGCTGCGAATCCAGACATGAACTCTGACCCAAGACCATGATTCACAGAACACAGAGGGAGTGAAGCCAAATGCACGTGCGCTCTCTAAAGCACCTGAGAGAAAAGGTTGTTTATGCGGGTGAGATATGAATATATTAATTTCCTGGACACTTAGTTTACTAGGGAAAGATTAACGCTCTGTGATATGTGAGTGCGCTCAGATTTCTCCCCAGGTGGTACGGAGGCAGGATTGTTTGTGGTGCTGGTATGAGGCAGGGACAGACCCTGGAGAGCGATGTTACAGTAAACACAGCATCTCGCCCTGTTGCTTGCTCGGAGCCTCTCAGGAGACCAGCAGGACACTCGGCCGCTGGACAAGCGCACGCCTGCAGGTCAGCCTGACCAAGTAAAAGACAAAAGGCTGGTCGCTTGCTAAACTAAACTCCCTCTCACCCTTTGACTTTTGATCAAGAGTTGTGCTGAGCTGGCCACAGCCTCCCGAGGACGTCTGTAGCAGCCCTGGGAGAAGCATCAGGCCTTCCCCTGCCTCTGGGAATAATGCCCACGGTGGATGACATCCTAGAGCATGTAGGGGAATTTAACTTTTTCCAGAAACAAATGTTTTTCCTCCTCGCTCTGCTCTCAGCCGCCTTCGCTCCCATCTACGTGGGCATCGTCTTCCTGGGCTTCACCCCGGACCACCGCTGCCTGAACCCCAGCGTGGCCGAGCTGGGCCGGCGCTGCGGCTGGAGCCTGGCGGAGGAGCTGAACTACACGGTGCCGGGCGCGGGGCCGGCGGGCGAGGCCTTCCCCCGCCAGTGCCGCCGCTACGAGGTGGACTGGAACCAGAGCGCCCTCGGCTGCCGGGACCCGCTGGCCGGCCTGGCCGCCAACAGGAGCCACCTGCCGCTGGGCCCCTGCGCGCACGGCTGGGTGTACGACGCGCCCGGCTCCTCCATCGTGACCGAGGTGAGTGCCAGCGGGGCCGCGCTCAGGGCAAAGCCAAGCGCACAACTTTTCCTAAGGGAGAAGCCTGCAGGGCCAGGTTCTTGGGCTCTTTGGACCCAGAGCATCTTATAAAGGTCTAGTTTCCCAGGCAAACGTGCAGCCTCTTATTTGTCTGGAGATGAATGTATTAGTTAAGACTTCATGGAATTCTGGCCCTAATGCAAGTCTCAGAGGTAGAAACAAGCAAATGCCTATCAGAATTTCTGGAAATAATTTCAGGAAAGGGAAAATCGTCAAGCCTCCTCTTTTCCTGGAAGCCTTACCTCCTCTTCTATTCCCCCAGCATACCAATGGTCACCCGAAAACCCTCGGACCTGAGCTGAAGGGAGCCTTGCTGTGAAAGCGTGAGCTTTCCTCCTGAGGGCTGTTTTATTCTCTTGATCTGCTCAAAGTGTCCACATAAAACCTTCTGGGGTTGGAGCTTATGTGATAGTGCTATGATTGTATTAAAATCTTCAGTCAGCAGTTACATCTAACTGTGAAGGCTCATTTCAATAAATACAGAGGAAATTTTTTTAAATGGAGGTTTGTTCTAATGGGAGGCAAAGCAAAATGGGGCGATGCAACGCTTCTGCAAATAAAGAACCAATTGCCCCCCTTAGTGTCCAGAACTGCCGGGGTGATGTGAAGATACTCTGTGTGATACAGACATGGATGTAGAGGGGCCTTTTTTTTTTTTTTGAGGATCTGAAGTAGTCTCATTACCTGAAGTGTGGAGGTTCACAGTTTTAGCACTGTACAACTTTAAGAGGCTTTACAGTGGCTCATCTCCTCCCTTCACACAGAGATGAGGAAACTGGGCAGAGCAGACAGGAACAACTTGCCTGAGGCAACTGGATCTCCTGACTTCCAGGCCAGCACCTGTTCCTCCTCCAACACAGCCTCTTGTTCCAAATGAGAGCAAATGTAACAGCCTTTAGCAAGGCGCTCCTGACTGCTAATTCCCCTGCTCCTAGAGAGACAGTGAAGAGAAAGTCCCCCAGGGCAACGTTTGTATCCTCTTCACACACCGGTTTGCCTCCGTGTATCGAAATTAGAAAGGGCAAATGGATTTGTGCATAAATGGAGTACGACCCAACTTCAGCTGATTTAACCAATCACAGAGTTTAGCCTAATGACGTACTACCAGATGGAATGCTAAATAGAGTGCAGGACAAATCTTCTTGCATAAAGAAAATTAATAGAAACAGGAAAGCCATGGGTTTATTGCCATTCGGCCACACTGGTTCAACTCAAGGCAGATTGAATGAGTTCCCCGGGCTGTGCTGTGTCTTACGGGATTTTGTTTTCTTTCTCCCCTAACTTGGGACATCTCTCACCTCGCGGCAGTTTAACCTAGTGTGTGCCAACTCCTGGATGCTGGACCTGTTTCAGTCGGCTGTGAATGCTGGGTTTTTTATTGGTTCTGTGTCTATCGGCTACATAGCAGACAGGTAGGTGCTGTACAAATGTGGGGGATTTAAACAATCCCACAGGTTCTGGAAGCGCCTGGCCTTACCACCTCTGCTTCAGTATCATCCTTTCCCAGAGCACCCAGACCACAGTTTTATGGCCTTAATGTCAGTTGTCTAAACAGTCTTAGATTTCTTCTGCTGCTTTGATAAGCATGACCAACGTCTTTGTTTTCTAAATCTGAGTCCTAGTGGGATGTTTCAACATTAGGCAGCCGTTTTTTCTTGTGAGTTATCCAGAAGCTTAGGGGTTAGGGGAGGGAGAGAACTCGATGGGTTGATCCCTTTGTAATTCCCAGTTCATTCATTCTCTGGCCTGCTGGTCGTGAGCCTTGGGGGTCTCGGGCCCTCTCCCGTCCTCTGCTTGCCTCTCACATACCCAGAGCCCAGCATACTCTCCCCAACACTGTCCCTCCCCTGCCCATGAGACTGCAGGACTCCTGAGCTGGGCCCCTGGAGCCAGTTATAGGTATAGACGTGGAACCTAGGGTATAGTTGGGTGAAAGGGAAACAGGGTCCGTCCACACCGAGATCTGGAAACGCCCCTCCACATGGAACGTATAGCACATGCTCTTCTCCAGTGGGTCCATGTCTTCATGGGACTCACACAAATCCAGCTGTCCCTGTATCTTTTATTGATCCATCATTTTGTAATCCCAGATTTGCTGAAAGTTCCTTGTAACACACATCTTTACAATGGTAATGACCCAGTAGATGTTTTTAGGAGTCCTCAAAAGGAAAACAGAAAATTTTGCTTTATATTTGATAAACACTTTAGATAATATGGCCGTCAGGGCTAATTATTTAATACTCAGAATGCCAACTGTTTATGGAGAGTTTTCCATGTGCCAGGCACTGTGCTTAACATTTGAGACAGTATCATTCTCTTTAGTCATCAGTCACCTAGTGAAGTGGTGATATATAACTATACAATAAATATATAAATTCTATTATAATCAATTTAATATATTTATGATTTATTATAAACCATACATATGCATATTTAGTCCTGAAATAAATGGTAGAGTAAATACACTGTATGCTTATTGCCCTCCCCAACTATATCTATGGTATGATAAACCCAAAACTATGAGTATAATATTAAATATAAATAGAATATTTTCTATGATTAAACTATATTGTCAGGCTGGATTGAAAGTTGCAGAAGTGTTAAAAGATTAACAATGACGGTTTAATCTATCACACCCACACGTCACCACATCCACTGCCCCCATCCCTAGGGGCAGGGGGTCATGTGCATTTTCACACCTGGCCCACTGGGCAGCAGGAGTGGGGAGGGAGGGTGGCAGGTGAGACGCCGGCCTCAAGGCAGCTCCATCCACCACACTGCTTCCAGAGCTGTCTGCTCAGCCGTCTCTCGGAGGCTCTCTGGGAGGCTTGTCTCTGGGAGGCTTGTGAGGGAATGAGGAGGCCATTCGAGTTATTTTTATTGCCACAGAACCTATGACAGTCGTTTGGAGATGATGCCTTAAATCAGGAGCAACACTAGCAAGGGGTGGTCCAAAGTCCCCTCTCTCCTCGCCCTTCCCACTGCCCACCTCCATGTGCGGTGAAGTTATTAACACTCAGCTCACGGGAAAGAAGTGAGCAAATAGGTGACTAAGTCTCACAGCTAGTTAAATAAATGAGTTAATTATTCTCATCCCACTCAGACAGTAAGAGCCTTGTCTAATTCTCTACTGATAGTGCATTCCCGACATAATCCTCAGTCAATTATCCACCTACCTAGGTGACCTCATTTTCTGCTCCTATTGGTGCAATCTCCTATGTAAAGCTGATTACTCATGATTCTTCCCCAATAATCTATGTATGTACCTCTATTTCCTTTCTTAAACAATCTGAAGTTATGTTGGCAGTTGACCCCTCTCCTGTTGTATTTGTGTGTGATCTAAGGGTGTGCACTAATACAACTCCATAGGGTTAAACAAAAAAAAAAAAAGGAACTTAACGCCTATATCGGAACAGTTTTGAGATTTTATACAGTGCAACAAAAATCTCATGCAAACCTATTTTATGCTACAGATTAAGCCGACATTAAATAGAATATGTCATCTATGAAAGTTTTAAAAATATGACCCAACAGCTGATTGGGGTACCTTTTAGAAGAAAACAAGGAGGACATTATGAAAGATTGTAAATAAGAATACTGAGTCTTACAGCACGTCAGCCTTCTGAAGGTTAGCATTGCAAATGGAAGAAAGGAAAGGAGGGAGTGAAGGAGGGCCTATGTTAGAGAATTTGAAAATAAACCTTTAATAAGATGTCCAATTTGTTTCATCATTCAAACCTCTTAAAGAATGATTTTGAGGATCATGTGACATAAGTAATCTCACACCAATTCCAGACTTTTTACTCTAATAATCAGTAATTATAAGTGCTATATTTAGTGGTATGCTTGTAAATATTTAATGAATGACTTTCTGAGGGAAAAAGATTTGTAGCATTTGCTGATTTCCTTGGTGTAAATACCCCCACGGTGGTCCATTTCAAGCTAGCAAAGTAAGGTCACTGAACAGAGAGTTGGCTGGAAATATGTGGAAATAATACACTATTTCCACTGTACAGACACAACAGATAGAGGTAAATAACCCCATGAGCATAGATAATGGATGGTCAAACAGTGAAATAATTAAGAAGCAGTGTTTTGTATACTTATGACACTTGTTTTTAATATAATTTGCTTGATTATAAGTATATAATTTAATTTTTAGCAACTGTGTTCAACAATTTTTTAATTTGCTTGCAAATTTTCTGAAAGACTAATAATAAGTTCCTGGGAGTCAGCATCCTCCTGCCTTTTTCATGATGGAACTGGGTCAAAACAAACCCAAATCTGTGAGTCAGAGTCAAACTTACTCGACTATGTGGAATCTCCCAAAACGAGTTCTCCATTACCTACTACGTGCCAGGCACTGTACTGGGCATCCTGGTGTGTTATATTTCATTTGGGATCATAACAGCCTTTTAAAGATTTTATTATCCCCAATTTGCAGATGAGGAAACAGGCTGAGTGGAATGAAAGCAGTGCTTCCCAAACGTTAATGTGCATCCAGCACCCAGGGATCTTGTTAGAATTCTGACTTCTGACCCAGGGGGTCTGGAGTGAGCCTGACTCTGCACTTCTAACCACTCCCAGCTGACAGCCCCGGGGCGGCCGCCTTCTCAGTAGCAAGCAACTAACAGACAGAGGCCAGCAGTCCTGGAGTCCACGCCTCCTGGTTCTCCCTTTGTTTTTCATGTAACCACTTCAGTGGTTCTGTTGCGAGGAGTTGGGGAGTGGAAGATGAGGGCTGGTGGGGAGTGGGGGGGGTCTCAAACCACTATCTCAGATCTCCAAAACCTCTTCCAGCCATGCGTAATTTTCTCAATAAGATCATGTTCTTCTTTGGAACATGTCTCCCTGCAAAGTTTTTCTGCATTGTTGATTTGATATTCTGAAGGTTTTCATGCTCTGAGTTTTAAATGATGAATATTCCCTCTTACCAGCCACAGGATTTGGTCCATCTACAGGAGCATGACTGTGATTGTTTCTGGTATACATGAGTCAACTTTGGAAGTTAAAGAATTATCACCTGAGCAAATGTTCATAAACTCTTTGAGGGTAAAGAAAAGAGTTTGGGTAGATGTGGGAAGAAAGGCTAAACCACTGTGTTGAGATGTGACTTTGGAAGGTTTTGAATTAACAGCCAAGGGCATATATATTTACAATAGCATCCATTGACTGAGAATTAAGAAATGACATGATCAAAAAAACCAAGTTCTAAGAAATGAAGCAGTTTACATTAATTACCAGTGTGACTGCTTGATCTTTAAATTTCAGATTTAAAATATTATTATTCCCTAATAATTATTAATGACATCCTGGATTATTCTTAAATGGTCAGTTAGTATTGAAATGGTCACAAGAATATAGTTGTCTAAAGGTAGAGAAGCAATCAGATAACATTCAGCCACCACTGAATGTGCACTGCTAATGACAATAAGCCCTAAGAACTGTTCAGTTTGAAACAGATAAACAAAGACCAAATAAAATGTTTTCTATGCAGAATTTTGGAAATATCCACTCCCAGCTGATTAGAGTGTCTTTTGGCACAAAACCAGATATGATGAAAAGGTGAAAATACACGTCCAGCACCCCAACCAGCTTTCTGAGAGCCAGCTTGGCACCCAGAGGGAATAGAGGGAGGTGGGTGGTAGGGGGAGAAGGAAGGTGAAGTGTCCAGCTCTTCATGTGTGATACCTCAGTCTTCTTGCCAGCTGGGTCACGCAGGTCTTCTCCAGATGAGGAAACCGGGGAAGGTTGAATAACTCAGCAACATCGTACGGTAAGCGGTAAGGCCAAGATTAACCCCAGGTTTCCACATTTTCCTCCGCTCTGTGCGTGGAGCCACTGTACAAGGCCCTAGGCTGATGAGCCCTGAGTCCCTCACATGAAATATGGAATATCCTGCAGGGACACTCCTGTAGCCATGACCATGTGAAGTGACCACATTACCACACAAAAGACCCTTCCCATAAGCCATGCAAATGCTGCCAAGTCCAAGGCAGCGTTGAAAATGGATGGGGGACTATGTTGAACTCGAATTCTGTTCTTCCTAAACCCAAAACTCTCTTGGATGGACAGTTGGTTGAGACTGTTAGAGCAAAGGCCCAAGCTCACAGGGTGAGGGGCAGACAGGCCCCTGGGGCACTGAGCACTGGGTGGCCTGGGAGACTCACTCCCCGCATCACCCTCCATGGTTCGGAGCTGAGCAGGTAACTCCAGCCCTGGGGTGAATGGGCTCACAGTGCTTCGGTCCCTGTGCAGCGGGCTGGTGGAAAACGCTGCATGGAACCAACTGACCTCCAGGGTTCTGTTGGCGAGTGTGACCTGGCGCCCGCTGGCCTGCTATAGCTCAGAGTCAGCCTCCAGGGCTCTGAGCTCCCAAACTCCTGCTGACATTCTGCGATCTTCATGGATCTCATCTCACTCTTCCCCTCTCTCTGCTTCTCCCCCTGCAGGTTTGGCCGTAAGCTCTGCCTCTTGATCACAATCCTCATAAATGCTGCCTCTGGGGTCCTCATGGCCTTTTCCCCAACCTACACATGGATGTTAACTTTTCGTTTGATCCAAGGACTGGTCAGCAAGGCAGGCTGGCTGATAGGCTACATCCTGAGTAAGAATGCTTGCGACTGCAGTTGGGAGGACACGCAGGCACTGCTGCTAAAATAGAGTCAGGTGGGGGGTCACTGCAGAAAAGCAGGCTCAGCTTTAACACAGTGTGCAGAGACTGGTTTTTCCTGTATCAAAAGTAAAATCTTTTCAATCACCTCATTCTACATTCTTCATATAAAGAAAACAAATAAAATAACTGACGGTAAACATCATGCATTCCAAATTCCTACATAACTGTAAGGATTTTTGTTTTCTGTACATAGGGGTGTTACATAGAGACAAAATCCAACCTGCCAGCCCTGTATGTAAAGAAAATTTAATGATGAGAGCCATGTTAGGAGTATAAGGGACTCTATTACTTTGTGTAAATTGATTCTAGTAAACCATATTATTCATAATTTATACGCAAGGAAACTGAAAATACAAGTCCTGTGGTTAGTCCATGCTCCGCAGCCAGCCAGGATTATCATTTACATCCTACTCAGTGGTAGCCAGAGTGAGGCCTAAGCTTCAAGGCATATAGGAGAACATTTGAATTCTAGCAGCATAGCACCTTTAAAGTAATATTAAGAAAAATTACCATCATAGTTACATCTTGGGAATTAACTCCATCATTACTTTCCCATCAGCTATATTCAAGTATCATCCACACAAAGGGAAATGGGCACTTGGACGCTACTGCTAATAATAAAGTTTCCATTATACACAAGAAAACTAGAATACATGTGCTTAAAATTTTACCTGGTAGAGTTAATTTGGGGAATTCTGTGAGGTGAAGAGGAGATAGTGCTTAATACTATAGGTACCTCTCATGGAAGGTCTTTAATATGCATTTGGGCAACAAAAAATGAACATATGCAGTTGCTCAACCAATCATTTGGTTTCTAGAACACATAATATGTAGAAATTAATTGTATACATTTAAATTTCAGCCTTTTCCCATCAATTTCCTCTCCAGTTCCTCTGAATGTCTTTGAGGGGCACTTGTACTAGACCTCTTTGTACCTCCCCACCCTAAGCCTTCATCTGGGACCCCAACCACTCTGCATAAAGTTTTGTTGAGCAATTACATTCTAACTCCATTTTTGAATACTTTTGGAAAATTGACAACAGTAATTTATAGGAATATTTTTAGAGGGCAATTTGTTTGGTTTATAAATAGTTGAAGTCTTTTTACATGATTACCCAACATCTGAGCAAAACTCTCTGGCTCACAGAATATCTGGAATTTCAATCCTAGCATGTTTGTGATATAAAAATGCTGGTCCCCTAAACCCATGTACCACAGACTTCATACACCTGTCATGCTGTAGTTATGGGTGAGATAAAGCTGGTCATTACACCATGTGCTGCAGTATGCCAATAAACTGGCTCTTAGAAAACAAAGTCTCTGATTCATAGTGTCTTCTAAGTTGCCAGTACTCCCACCATGACTGATTTTAAAATACCAATGGGTTTAACAACCAGTTTGCAAAATTCCTGAAAATTTAAAAATCAGTCCTTGTAAACAGGTCCTATTGCTAGGTTTCCAAGCCATTTACAACAAAGCAGAATTGAAAAGAAAATGTTTAACTCAAGTAAGAGAACAAGTTATATTGAGATATTCATTTATCTAAAAATCATCTATGATCTAAATTCAATTTTTGGTTCATGTATTCAGGTCTTAAATTGTCACTGCCTTATCACTCTAGTTCAAAATTCTGCATGTATCTTAAAAACGATTGCATTTGTCCTAGAAATTATTCTATAAATTAACCATTTTGCTCATGTTGGCAGGCCTTTCACCCCATCTAATGTGAGATTATAAGATTTTACATTAACACAACAGCAATAATTATAACAAAATAGGCCCCAAAACACATTTTAAACATTTCAAAGAGCTGTATAGAAAATTCTAGAATTTGGACTACTGTTTGAAGGTTGGTTCTGCAGTTTCCCTCTAGTTGGATAGCCAACCCACTATTGTACTGACTTGACCATTCAGATTCTCTCTGCAGTTACAGAATTTGTCGGGCTGAGCTATAGAAGAACAGTGGGGATTTTTTACCAAGTCGCCTTTACGATTGGGCTCCTGGTACTTGCTGGGGTGGCATACGTGATTCCTCACTGGAGGTGGCTGCAGCTCACGGTTACTGTGCCCAACTTCTGCTTCTTGCTCTATTACTGGTGAGTTCACTTGGAACAAAAAGGAAATACATTGAAGTGCTCTATTTAACTAAAGAGTCTGCCCTCCCTAATGCGCCACGACTTTTGAAACCTAAGGCTTCCCTCCCTCTTCGGTTTCGCAGGAAACCCAGGTCCATATTTCAAGGGATAAAAAATACCACAGGCTTCAGCCTGTCTCCTGCTCCTGAAATCAAATGTCCTTTCACTTTGGGCTTAAGCATTTGATGACTTGGATCTTACATTTTCACATTATTAATGTGGTGTTTTAATCAGCTTCTGGTGGCTGTAGTACCCTTTGAAGAAACTGACAATATTACTGTTCTTATTCTGAACCTGATCAGAATGAAACTCAAGATTGAGGAAGTGGGGCATGTATGGCACCATGGCACTTTTTATCACCATGTCCCCATGTCCATGCCCAGAGCAGACATCCCCAGTCAACCACAGCAGTCTTTATCCCAGATAAGTCCACCCTGGCACCCCAGACAGACTGTACCAATCAGTCACAGATACCAGGAGAAGTGAAAGATGTCACCCCTGCTCAAGGGACACAGAAAACACTAGAATCAGCTGAAACTATCAGATACTCTTAATGGGAGGTTTACCTGAGATAAAGCAAGAGGGATGTGATTATCAAACAAGTCTCCCTCCCATGCAACAAGCCATGTATTTGGTTCCTGGACACACCCACCTGTTCTTCCCCTAGTTGTCTTGTCTAAGAATTGAACATCTCAACTCCTCCCAGGAAACCTGCTCTCCTCCAAAAGCCAGTAAAACTCTGAGAGTGACCTTTAGCCCCTCCCTACATCCATTCTCCCTCCTTTGCATCTCTGAATCAAAACCCTTGTTTTTTCCTACTCCCACTAGGAATTCATTATTTCCTGCCTAGATTGCTTCCCTAGCCTCCCAACTGGTATTTTGGGCATTTGTTCCACCACCTCTAATCCACGCCTCATGTCTCATTTTTAAAACCAGCTCTACCATGTTACTTTCCTATTTGAATAGAAACCTAATGTGTTAGCAGACAGGAAGGCTCACCTATTATCTCGGTTCCCATCACCTCCGAAGCACTTCTTGCCACCTTTCATGCAGTAGAATCGAATTTAACTTACTTGGAATCCTACAGGTGCCCCAAGTGTGGCATCTGGCGTGTACCTTGTGCGTCTGCATGTTTGATGGGAGTGTCACTCAGAAGGAGGAGGGGCTGTGGAGGGAAAGATGCTGAGGTGAGCTCTGGACCTGAGGAACGCTTGGTGCTGCATGGGCATCCACATGTAGGTATCTGGGGGGGAGTTAAACTTAAAAGTCAGGAGTTCAGATAAGATCTACATCATTGTTGTAGTTATGGGGATGGATGAGATCCCTCCGAGAAATGATCAGGGCCAGAAGACAAGGGAGACGGACAGACCACGAGCAAACACCAACTTTTGAAAGGCATTCTCATTTGAGGATGAGGAGACAGGACCAGCAAAGAGTGAGGCGGCAAAGGAGTGGAAGGGAGGAGGCACAAGGGCAGAGAGGGTGTGGGAGTCATGGTGGAGGGACTCTGTGCAGGCCTCACTGCCCTATACCCGCCTGCTCAGCCTGCCCAGGCAGGCCTCTGTCCCCTGCTCGGTGGCCCTGTGCACACATCTTTGTACCCCCCCCCCCCCCTCACTGCTTGTTGGCATCAACTGTTCACTTGGCATTGCACAACTCGACTATCCGTCCCAGGGGGTGTCACCTCTTTGAGGCCAGGTAACAGTGGGGTCCTCTGGCCAGTTGCCTGTCTGGTCCCACAGCAACCCCCTAGTATGTGATTCTCCCACCTCTGCTGGAGCTCTGGCACAGAGGGCACCTACTTACCATCAGGTAAGCCTCTTTGTGGAGCCCAGAGCTCATGCCCAAGAGGCTTTCCATGGAGCCAGAATTTACGTTCCCATCAATTTTACCCATTGGTACTCCTGCTACATCTAGAGCTTCAAAAAATTAACTTCTGTTCCACCAGGCAGTTCTTCTAGCATCGGTTTATGTCTCTCAGAGTCTGTCAGGACTTTCCTTCTCTAAGCCAACCACTCCCAGCTCCTGCCTCCTCTCACCAGGCTCCCATGCCCTTCACCCTGGCCCTTCGTCTTTGCTGACTCTGCCCCCTGAGGCACAGGTGGCCAGCACTAAACACGCTGCTAAGTGTGAGCTAGAGAGGTAGCCCAGCAGTGTCACAGTGGAGGACCTCCGAGCCATGAGCTGTGGATTGATGGCCACTGAGCACACCACGCTTCTGTTCCTGACACTGAGCCCTAACAGAGTTGTCCTTGATTCTTGTCTCCATGGCACCTCCACAGAAACATCCACCTGAGTTCCTTTGGAGCCCCGCCTGTCAGAGCAGCCCTTCTCTCCCAGAGCAATGACCCCGATTGGGGCCTGCCTGTTTCTCTGCCTCCTTCCTGACAGTCTCTCCTCCTCCTGGCCCCCTGGCTGTAATCCTGCTCAAAGACGTACAGGGGCTCCCTGGGTCCTGCCAGACCAAGCTCCATTCGTGCAGTCTGCCTTTCCGGCTCTCCCCATCGGATCTCAAACTCTCAGAATACAGAGTCAGCTCTGTATTCTGAGTCAGCTCTCAGAATACAGAAAATACATACAGTAGTTGCTTTCCCCTTGACAGTGTGCATGCAGCCACCTCCTCACCTCCACCGTGCCTGTCAGTTCTCACTTGCTGCAAAGCTGGAGCCACTGAGACCTGCCTCTCTGGCCTGCAGCTCACAGCTGGGGCTTCAGCTGCTTCCTGCTTGGCAGTTTGCTTCCCGAAGACCCCCTGGGCACTCCCAGAAGAGGGGACTTGAGGTCTTCCTGACGAGGCTGAATAGAGGCCAGCATTTGGAGGAAGGAAGAACCACTCATCTCCCTGCACAATTTTACAATTTTTTTATGATGAGGCTTTTTAAGACCTATTCCCTTAGCAATGTTCAAATATACAATACAGTATCATTAACTACAGTCACCATGCTGTCTTTACATCCCAGAACTTAATTACCTTATGACAAGAAGTTTGTACCTTTTAACCTCCTTCAACCATTTCCTCCACCCCATCCCCCCACCTCCACAAACAACCATCAATCTGTTCTCTGTATCTAGGAGCTTGCTTCTTTTATTAGAAGTGAGATCATACAATATTTACCTTTTTCATTCTGGTTTATTTCATTTAGCATAATACCCTCTAGGTCCATGCACATTGTTACAAATGGCAAGATTTCCTTCTTTTTTTGGCTGAGTAATATTCCATTGTATATATGTACCACACCTTCTTTATCCATTTATCCATTGCTGGCCATTTTGGTTGTTTCCACATCTTGGCTATTGTAAATAATACTGCAAGAACAGAAGAGTGCATATATTTTTTCAAATTACTATTTTTGTTTTCTTTCAATAAATATGCAGAAGTGGAGTTGCTAGGTTTTATGGCATTTTTGTTTTTAATATTGAACTTTCATCCCATTTTCTATAATGGCTGCACCAATTTACATTCCCACCAACAGTGCTTGAGGGTTCTCCTTTCTCCACATCCTCACCAACATTTGTTGTTGTTTTTTTGTCATTTTGAAAATAACCATTCTGACTAAGCTGATAACTCACTGTAGTTTGATGTTGAACATCTTTTCTTGTGCCTATTGGTCATCTGAATGTCCTCTTTGGAAAAATTACTATTCGGGCCCTCTGCCCATTTTTAAATCAGATTGTTTGGTTTCTTTGTTTGTTTGTTTTTTGTTTTTTTGCTGTTCGGTTATATGAGTTCTTTATGTATTTCAGATACTAAGCCTTTACCAGATAGATGATTTGCAGCTATTTTCTCCCGCTCAGTAGATTGCCTTTTCATTCTGTTGATGGTTTCCTTGGCTGTGTAGCACCTGCATAACTATTTCTTTTGTAGATGCAACCAAACCTCACTATGTAAGATCCCACAGAGAAATCTGATTATGACCATGGGACAAGGGGCTCAGGAAGATTTTCCCCTTCACTTACCACCACTGGTAACACCTGCCCTGTCCCTAGGTGTGTGCCTGAGTCTCCAAGGTGGCTGAACTCCCAGAACAAAAATGCCAAAGCCATGAAGGTCATTAAGCACATTGCCAAGAAAAACGGAAAATCTCTGCCCGCCTCTGTCCAGGTGAGCCAGCAGCTGAAGTGTCACATCAGGGACCAGGGACAAAGGAGGGTTTGGGGAAAGTGTCCACTATCTCAACCAGGAGCTGCAGAAGGGCTGCCATACAACAGGGTATTTCTGTTTGCTAAGATTCATGGTTCCCCAGTAGAATACTTTAAATCGATGGAAACCATAAAACTAAAAGGAAACAAAAATCATTTACAGGCATATGAGGAGCTTCTGTCTTGTACCACTCAAGACTGGGCTGGTCACTCATGTCTGATTTACCTCAGTGTCCACTGGCATCCTCAGTGAAGGAGGTTTTTTTCCCCAGAGGGCAGATTCATCAAGTACAAACAATTTCTTAGAATTTTAACCATTTTGAATAGAAACCATCCCCAAACATTGTGAACAATCTCTTGCCTTCTTACGTCAAACACATCACTCAGGTGTCCATTTTCTCTGAAGTTTGTTTTGCCTTTAGGAGACCCTTTTTCACTGTTACCATAAACCTTTTCATCTGACACGGCTGGGAAAGAAAAAAATCAAACTTGTTAGAAAATTATGTTAAAATCAGAGTAAATCATTTCTGAAAGGGGATCTCAGATCGTTTACCTGTAAGATCTTAGGGTTGACATGACTTTAGAATCAGGATTTGGGAATGAGTGGCATAGCCCCAGTTCTTAGGTTTCAGACCCTTTCCGAGGCTGGTCAGGGAACACAGTACACACGAGTCCCTGTCTGTAGAGGTAACGCAGTGGCAGTGGTCCGGTCACTGCTGGTTGTGCTGGAGGTTTGTTCCCTTGTCCCTCTGTCTTTGGCACACCGACCTATGTTGCTTAGGAAGGAGGCCGAGTGGTTTTCGTGAGGGCAATGCTCCTAGAACCCTGGAGAGGGATTCCCACATCCACCACCATTTTCTTCCAGAGCAGAGCTTCTCCCACAGGACTCCCCTGGGGTCCTTGAGAAAATGCAGAGTCGAACTCAGCCTGTCTGGGTGGACCCAAGACCTTTATTGTACCAAGCACAGGCCATACGGAGCTGATCCAAGTGCTAAGGTCCCAGAGCAGAGCCTCCTGGGCCAGGAGTAGAGGGCATGCTGATGCCCTCCGCCCCTGGGGCCCCTGGGGTGGGCCTCAATGTCACCCCACTCTGCTCCACCTGGTATCACTCTGTATGTTTGTCTGAGTTACCTCACTTCCTGCATCCCAGCTTCCTCTTCTGTGAAATGGGGTGGAGACGACAGACCTCACTTCCAGGGGAGCTGGAGAGATGAGAGGAGCTGAAGTGTGGGAGGGCTTACCTGGGCACCTGGTAGGTGTGCCTCAGAAAGTGTAACTGTTACTCCCTGTATGACCCGCGGGCACCATCATTAAATATGCAGAGCCATTCCTAGTGCTTCTGTTCCCAGAGCCTCCGGCCCGATGAGGAAGTCGACAAGAAGCTGAGTCCTTCATTCCTCGACTTGGTCAGAACCCCTCAGATAAGGAAACACACTTTGATCTTGATGTACAACTGGTAAGAAATATTTTTCACTTTAAAATTCCTCCAAAACCTTTTAATCCCAGTCATTCACATTAAGGGGGGGGGGGGACAAGAGGGCCTTCCCATCACCTAGTTCCAGTATTAACACTGGCATAGATAGTAAGGCGGCTCATTTAGAGGAGGTTTTCCTGGTACTCTTATTCTCAGGCAGATGTTGAAATCCGCTTACAGTCCCAAAGCACAGATCAGTATGTTCTCAACCTTGGCATCACCTAAAAATGCCCTGGGAGATTCTAAAACACCGAATCCAGACACCCCCTCCCGTTATACTGAATTGGTCAAGGGCAGGACCCAGGAAGCAATATTTTTTACATTCTCTAGGTGATCCTAATCTACAACCAAAACTGAGACCCATTGGTACTGATTAATCAATAATGAGTGTAGATTTCTTCTTAAAAAAAGTTAACTTCCAAACAAGAATAACCCCCTGGCTGCACAGCCCGGTAACGTGAAGGCCACTGTCTGGACTGCCTGCAGGCTGCTGCCTGGCCCTGAGCGGTCACTCTGCACCAGGCTTTCTGCAGCACACTTGGCTTTCAGTTGGGATTCACACCGGCCAAATCAAGATTTATAAGCTCTGAGAAAAGCAAAGCTCATCAGGAATCTATACAGCAACCTTCATGATATTGCACGTAAAACGCAACAGGGAAACAGGGACCCATTATCTTCCTTTCCTTTTCTGAATAATTGTGACTCTTGCCGATTATGCTCATATTTTCCATTACAGATAAATAAACACTTAGAGTCAACAAAAAAAACCCAAAAAAAAACAGTGTCAAATGTTGTTCGTATAATGTCAGAAGATACATCGTCCAAAGAGGTGCTGTACCCATTTGAGAATTTGATACCTATTTGGGTCTTCCGGTTCCCTAAAATCTGAAAAAGCAGTTAATCCTTTTGATCCCAGTTTGGTCAAAAGACCACAGAGAGAGACAGAATTAATAGCCACTAATAGCCTGACGTAGTTGAACTAAATACATCACTCTACTCAGAAATGTCTTGCCTTTCAACTTGGCCAGGGATGGCTATTATAAGTCCTTTTCCTTTCCTGTTTCTGGGTCATGGCCAGCACCCACAGTGGGTCACTGAATGGAGGGACTAGCAGTAAGAAGACGACAAAGAAACTCTTACATGCAGCTTGCATTTTTCCAGAAGCCTCTCCCTTTTGGTGACTTGCTTTTGGTGCCTAGCTTGACCTACGCTCCCCTCTTTGCTTTAGGTTCACGAGCTCTGTTCTCTACCAGGGCCTCATCATGCATATGGGCCTTGCAGGGAACAACATCTACCTGGATTTCTTCTACTCTGCCCTGGTTGAATTCCCAGCCGCCTTCATCATTATCCTCACCATTGACCGCATTGGTCGCCGTTATCCGTGGGCTGCAGCAAATATGGTGGCAGGAGCAGCCTGTCTGGCTTCAGTTTTTATCCCTGATGGTAAGTGTCAGGCCACTCTGGGGTTTTGTCTCCCAAAGTCCTGAGGACAGGAGATGTCATAGCCCTTCAATAGAAGACCATGTAATTTATCATCCACATTGATTTGGAAAGAATGACCACAATATGCCGAGCAAACCCATATGGCCGCTCTGCCTTTAAGAATCATCACACCCAGTGGTTGCTTGATGCCATGTAATCATACCCACTGGTTCTGTGATGTAATATAACAGGAGAGGCAAGGAGGACCCAATATAACAAGAGAGACTGCAGGCCACAGACAGAGCCGGCCTAGAGCAGACAGCATGGGCTTTGGGTAGAAAGGACCAGGGTTTAAGTCTTATGCCAGCACTTCCCAGATAGTATTTAGGCAGCTCCCTAGATCTCCCCACAGAATAAATGAGGAAACCTAAGTCAATGCAATCAGGGAACGATTATTCAGTTTGTTCCTTTCCTTTCAAATGCTTTTAAAATGTTTTCCTTTTAAAGTGCTTTCTCAGTGAAGGGGAGCAAAAACCTGCATAACAATCCTATTGGCAACACGGAGCTTTGTTTGAAACCTTCAGTTACTACCATCATTTAAAATACACCCATAAAATATGCCATATGCTATGGGGAATTCTGCTGAATTGTTTTGAGTCCACAGGAGAACCAGTTTTGCTTTCTTGCCCAGTTCTGGAATGTGGAATTTTCCTTTGCAATACCCTCTCTGGAGCACTGTTTGAAGACCAGAGATCACATGCGGTATATGTAAGTGGCTTGTTTTTTTTGGTCAGATCTACAGTGGCTAAGAGTTACTGTCTCATGCCTGGGTAGAATGGGGATTACGATGGCCTATGAAATGGTCTGCCTGGTCAACGCTGAGCTGTACCCCACTTTCATCAGGTGAGCACGTTTCCCTCTGCATGAAGAAGGTAGTTGGGACACTTACTTACTGGCCAAAACTACCCCTGATGAGGGCAGAGGACACCTTACGTTTCAAAACACAGGGGCAGAGAGGATGAGAATGTGGAAAGGGAGCAGTCAGACCACATCTCACACGTATAGGCTGGGATAAAATACAGAACCTGTGTGGTGAGGTCAGAAAATACTGAATTTCTGGCAAGGGATTAGCAAATAGCCACAGGAGAGAGCAAATAGCCACAGGGAGTGGGAACAGTGGAGAAGGAACCGTGGGGCAGGGCCAGGGAGCCAGCGGTGAAAGCAGGAAGCAAAGATGGCCCCCAGTTAAAGCTCTTCCAGAAGGCTGATACAAAGTAAGCGCCACAGAATACAAACGAAATTATGTACCAGGTATCATTTCTGTGCATTGAAAAAGCCACGTGGGCACCTTTGCTTTCGGTCTCTTTAACCCATCATTTTAATGACCTGGGGAAGTGTTTTCTTGGGGGTGGGGTGGGAGGTCACTGCCAGAGTGTGACAGGCTCACAAGTCAGGCCGGGTTCCTGCCCTTCAGGAACCTCGGAGTCCTCGTCTGCTCCTCCATGTGTGACATTGGTGGCGTGTTCACGCCGTTCCTGGTCTACCGGCTCACCGACCTCTGGCACGAGCTCCCGCTGGTGGTGTTTGGTAAGAGATCCTCATACATGGCTTTGAATGAAAACCTATTTTTCTAGGGACCTCCATTTTTTCCACCTCAAAATAGGTGCTGTGCCTGTTAGTAACGACTAAATACAACTAGTAATTAGTGATGCTGTTAGTGTCAGTAACAGTGGCACTACTAAAACTCAAGCATGGGAACCCGCCAGGGCTCACAGCCTAAGAGGTTCAAAGCCAAGAAAGGGCAAGAAGGAGAGGATCCCTGCCTCTCCTCCCTGAATCCACTCCCCCCAGGTCTCCTGGCCAGAGGCTAACGCAGCTGCCTCCTAGTGCCCACACATATATACACAGAAATCTTTCTCTTCATCACTTCAAAGAAAGGCACTTCAACTTTTGCAAAGGGAGATTGTAAAACCCGGGGACTGAAAAGCGAGACTAAGAAAATGCATTGCCGTGATGGGAACCTGTGCTGGCGCCCTTCCTCAGGTCCCTCGGGCGGTTGGATTAGACAGACACCGCGCTGTGCTTCCCATCCGAAGGCACGGACAGCGCTGAGCCCTCCCTGCCCTGAGTAGAGTAGAAGCTGCCTGGGACGAGTCTAATCATCAGCAATTAGCACCCAAAGGCCTGTCAAAGTGTGCAGACTGTGAAAGGGGCCCCGGGAACAGGTGTTTCCATTCCCTTCTGTCCATGGCCTTTTCCACAGCCTTAGGGCATGGGGAGGCTTCCTCTCCCGGCATGCTTCCAGACTCAAGCACACATCTGCCTTCTCCAGTTAGCTGGAATGCCTCAACACACCCACTTTAGTTTTCTTTCTCATTCTGAGTCTTTTCATTTGACAAAAATTTTCCCACAGAAGCACAACACTCACATAATCTGGGGGGAGCAAGGAAAATCATCCCCCTAAGATGCACACCCAGAGAGCTTTCCACTTAAGGAAAGCTTTCCCAAAGGGCTTTCCATGTAAGGCTGCACAGTGTCACCCACAAGTATCTCTGCTCATTCCTTCTTCTCATGGGCTTGTGAGGGGAAAATCTTCCACTGCTGTAGATCTGCCAGCAGAGGTTCCAAACCACTGATAGAACCCACCCTCAAAAGGGAGCCAGTGAATTCCTCCACATTCCAACTTAACCACAAAAAGGCCAAGGTTGGTAGAACACAAGCTTTTTATCCTGAGATGACCATGATTTAAGCACAGAGTGGCTGGCTCTGCTCATGGGACATCCATGTCCCAGATTCCTTCCTCCCCCAACACTAGCTGAGGGACCTGTCCCCAGAGCCCCCTTTCCATCTTGGGGAAATGCCACCACACCCTCTGAGCGCCTTCCTTCCAAGGAGGAAGTTGGAGATTCCTTAATCTCAGCCGATCCCTAAGGTGGGCAGTGAGTAGTCAGTGGGTCTGTGTGGTATTTCTGAGTAGGCGACAGACACTTTCTGTTCCTTTAAGTACTAGAAGGCAGTGCAAAGTCCAGACCCAGGGGCATCCCTGTTGACTTCCCTCAGTCCTCGCCTTTCTCTTGGAAGGATAAAGGATTTTAAGTACATTTCAACATTTACAGGAAACTCAAAGACAATTCCTGATTTTATTTTTGCTTGCAGTCTCATCTTCTTCCCTCACCTGCCTTCCATCTGAGAAGGTGTAGGAGGCAAAACTAATAGTTTCACCTTTTAACTTCTTCCCCTTTCTTTTCCACACAATAATGGTGTGCTAACTGTGGTCTTGAAATAGCCAGAAACAGTAATCTAGAAGCCTGTTTCCAAACCAAAATATTGGAAAATCCTGGTTGAAAGGGCACTAGAAAAATTGGTAAGGAATATCCTGGTTAATTAGCCTTATCTTTGAAAATACAAAATCCCAAATGGATGATAACTTGATTAATCTATTGCAGTCTCTTCATAATTCACTCACTTCTGAGAGTCAAAGCCAGCTAAATATGTTTATTGTTTCTACAATCACTTGTTTATTGATTCAGCCAAGGGAATCTTTAGAGGTTTAGAGAGGGTCTGAGAGTTTAGGTATTTAGTTTATACTTTGTGGCAACCACTGTTCCAAGCCCTTAACAATTATGAATTCAGTTTGTCTCAGAGCAAGCCTGTGAGGTGGAGACATCAGCCCACTGTCTATAGAAGGTCTGGAGCACCAGGGAGATTACAGAACTTCCCAAGGGTTCTGACTAGCAAACGGGTGTCAGAGCTGGAACCCAAGTGCCCGGAGCTGGAGCCTGTGCTCCGTGGCATCTATTTCTGCCATTTATTAAGGACACAAAAACGGAGTCCAGCATGCATTTTTCTGAAACTCCAAAAGTGAAGAACCAGCATCATACTTTCTGCATTCTAGTATAGAAAACATAGAAAAAGTGACCTTAAAGTTCCAAAACTTTAGTGAGCATTAAAACAAGTAGAAACACTATAATGTTTACTACGACCCCCCTAGCATATGCAAAAAATTACAGAGGGAGACAAAGAAAAAGGAGCAAGAGGAATTTATGGAACATCTGAATTTATGGAACACCCTACTTTTAATGTTATGCAGTAATACACCATCCATCACTTTTATTAGCTAGTAATGATCCAATCTGCTGACTCATCTTCCTTACTAAGTGCTTTCTATTGGCAGGGTTATGTTCTTCCTTTCCTTAGAATGGATTTTTTTTTCAGAGTTATTTTCTAATTCCAAAGTATCTTAGTATTGTGGCAATGTTCTCTAGCCTAGAATAACCCTGACTCAAAATGTCAAGTATTTCATTTCCCTGTAAGGAATTGTAATTCAATGGAGTCTAGAACCAGCAAAAAATTTATGGTTGGAGAATAGGGACGAGGTGGTAAAGAAATCCATAAGTATAGAAAATCACATACAAAAACTTTTTTAAAGAAATGAGGGGAGCTCTAATTATAGGGCCTGCAGGCCCCCGTTCCTAATGTGCCGTGCGTGTGTCTGGCTTCCAGCTGTGGTCGGCTTGATCGCCGGAGGACTGGTGCTGCTGCTGCCCGAGACCACGGGGAAGGCTTTGCCCGAGACTGTTGAGGAAGCTGAAAACATGCAGAGGTAGGCAGTGCGCATTCTTCAGGACATGTGCTGGGCCAACTCTGTAGCCACTTGGAAAGAAAGAAGAGCTTGAATCTGTAACATAGCCGGAGATCAATTTAAACAAAACCAAAGGCTTAACATTGTAAGAAAAGAAACAGTCAAATAATGAAGATCCTCTAGGAGAATGCCTTTATCCTCTCCTAGTGGGGAAGGTCTTTGGAAACACGGCCAAAAAAATCCAGGCTCCATTAAGAAAAGATGAGCAAGTTTACCTTCATAACAATGAAAAGTTCTGCACTGAAAAACTACCATGAGCTTAAAAAAAATAAACAGGGAAAATATTTGTTCCTCTACAAAGGACTCATCTCCCCAATATAGAGAGAACCCTAACAAATCCATAAGAGCAAACTCCCAAGTGAAGAATTGGACTTGAACAGATAATTCAGTGAAAAGAAATTTAGAACAGCTCTTAAGTACATGAGAATATGATCAATCTCCTTGATAATAACAGAAGTACAAATGAACACAGTACTAATAACAGCTTGGACTGTTGAAGACCAAAGAGCTTGGCAACAGACTGTGTTGGGAGAGAATGTAAGGAAATAGTGTCCTCCTAGCACCAAGCAATTCCACACTCCTAGGAATTCACATGTGCACAGTGACCTATGTATAGGATGATTCTCTTGGGCAACTTTTTATGTAACAAAAGATTGGAAACAACCTAATTGCTCATTGACTGGAAGACCAGTTCTGTAACTTGGCATGTCATTCAAAAATACTATATAGCCATTTAAAATGAGGCATCTTCGTATACACTGACAAGAAAGGTTCTCCAAGATAAAGTATTGATAAAAAAGCAAAATAGACAAAGCATATATCCTACCATTTGTGTAAAATAAGTGAATTTATTTATTATGTATTATGTATACATATTTAATTATATACATACTTAGCTGTATGTTTAGAAGAACATACAAGAACTATACCATTGGCTGTCTGTGGAATCCCACCTATGGAATACAGGTGGGAGGGAGGCTTTTCAATACATACCTGTTTGAACTTTCTGAATTTGGACTCATATGAACCTATTTAAAAAGTTAACTTTAAAAAAATTTCGAGAGAAATATATATGCCACTTTCCACAAGTTTACCCATGTTTATTCATCTAAGCACACACTTAGATATTTTTATCCATTTTATCCATACAACAAGTTTTGCCCCACTGGGGACATGGAACTGAACTGAATTTTATTCATTCTACAAAATATTCACATTTAACATATTTGGTACTTGGGCAAATATTGCTACCGAGAATTGTGGTGGTCTGAGGCCTTTCCTAGAACTTGAGCCTTGGAGTTGGAAGAGGCCTTTGAATTCAGCCAGAGGTCACACACCCGCAGCCTGAGGGACTCCAGGTCTCAAGTGCTTTGCTTGGCCCAAATGATACTTTTTAAAGTGGGAAATTCCACATAAATTAGGTTTCCAGGATCTGTTTTTTTTTAAAAACAAGAAAGAGAATCAGAGGATTTGGTAATGCAGAGCAGATATTTCCTCTCTCTGGCAGTCCCCAGGAACTGGGTGATGGCTCAGCATTTTGAAGGGCATTCTGCCGGAGAGGCCACCTGCCACCATTCCCACGGTCAGCCCCTAGCACTTCTGTATTTCTGCCTGGTGCGTGTCCATGTGTGTTTGGGGTCAGCCATGCTGCTGTTCCCTATCTCAGTGCACCTTCTCCTGCACACGAGCATCTTCCCTTGAGGACAGAGACTGTGTCGTCCTTACTGCTACATTCCTAGAGCTCAACACAGTGCCTGGCCCACATGGGATAGGGGCTTACCAAGTCTTGTGGAATAAAGGCTGCCTTCCTTCTGCAGCATCCCTAATGGAGGCTCTCTGGGCTTTGCCCAGCCAGCTCCGGTGTCAGGAAAGCAGTCATACGTGGTGGAAGAGCGTGGGCTGCAGAGTCTAACAGACCAGGTGTTATTCCCTCTTCCCTGACACCAAATGCAATGGTGTCTTTTTTTTAGACATATGTGTAACCATAACAATACTATACACAGCAGTTACAGTAATATAACTCCATTTGGGTACCCAGAACCAATTCCAGTGTGTGTAAGTATGTGGGAGGCTGTCTTCCCACAGATACTGACACCAAGCAAATCTTGAACACCAGCAGGGTATCCGAGAACTCAACTCAATTCTGACACTCTCTGCCCAGAGACAGCACTAGATCCCCCAGGTTAAGGGCTCCATCCTACAGGACTGCCCTCCACCCCGCACTCCAGACACTGGTTGCAAGCCCCACGCAGTTAACCGGTGCTTCTGACCTACTGGTTTGTAAACTGAAGGTTCCCACGACCTCCCCCTCAGGTTTGATTGATTTGCTAGAGCAGCTCACAGAACTCAGGAAAACACTGAAGTTTGCCAGTTTTATAAAGGATGCCATAAAAGATACAAGTGAACAGCCAAATGAAAGGATACACAGGGCAAAGTCCCACAGAAAGGAGCTTCTGTCGTCATGGAACCTGGGGCCTGGCTTGGCAGCCCGTGGAGGTGTTCTGGCTTCCCCAGCCTGGAAGCTCTCCCGATGGAGAGGCAGGGTCTGCAGAGCAGAGCAGAGCTCAGAGAGATAAGCCCTTCTCCCGGGTTCTGCAGGCCTTCATTGCATAGTCATGATTGACTACATTGTGGGCCACTGGCTGATTCAACCACCAGCCCCCACCCTTGGGTGGGGGTCCAAAAGTCTCTCATTAACATGACAAAACACCCATTTCACCCTTTAAGACGGCAGTGTTTTCTAGAACTGCATATGGATGACCAAATATGTATTTCTTACAACTCATTGTATCACACTAGGTCTTCACATTTCCTATGATGTGGCCTTAACTCCTCTAAGCCTCTGTTCCTTCATCTGTAAATGCGGACAACAGTTCCAACTTATTGGATTTTTGTAATTACTAAACAAGATAATGATTGTAAAGTGCTTAACACTTTGTAAATATCCAATAGCCATCAATATTTATAGACTTTTCATGACTGTTCTATATAATAGGAAAATGTACACCTAGATGATTTACTGGACACCAGTTTTTTAAATATGCTCCGAGTAGTTTGCAGTAGGAACGTTCAGTTCAGTGATCTACACACACACTTATGCTGGTAGAGGTTTTCCTTTTCCCCAGGCTGGTTCATCAAAGCTAAAGAGATATTTAACTAGGAAGATGTTCACTTTTTGGCTTTCTGCGCTACGTAACCCAGTTCACCTTTCAAAGGTAGAAGATCCTGGTAAGGCTTGGGGAGTGGTGGGAAGAGATTATGGGGAGGTGAGGACCAGGGCTGGGAGTCCATCTGCAGACAGAGATGAGAAGGGGTGGCCTGCAGGAGCCAGAAGTGTCTAGGAGCAGGGGCAGCCACTGCTGGCACCCAGGGTTCAGGCAGATTGCCTCCTTCAGGAGAGCTGCCCCAGTCATAGCGTCCCTCACGCTGTGTGGGTCCCAAGGCCCTGAGCCTGACGTTGTTACAAATACAGCCTTTGGGATTTCCTAAGGCACACCTCATTTCACGCCTTTTCTGTAAAATTGGGTGACAATTCCTAACATGTACTGAGAGCCTCCAGCTAATGTTCTCCAAGCCTTCTTCCAAATCACCTCATTTTAAACCCTTGCAGCAATCTTATGGAGTGGACATTATTAACCCCATGGAGAACTGAAATAAAATAGAGCGATTAAATACTGGCTGAAAGTCACACAGCCAGTAAGTGACAAAGCTGAGCTTCTAGTCTGTGCAGCCAGAATCCAGAACCCATGCACAGAGGACTGGTTCCCAAGTGAGATAAGAGGACTGGTTCCCAAGTGAGATAATTCAAGCTGGGCCAGCGCAGGGCCACACTCAGTTACCGGTCAGTGAGGCTGCTGCTCTTACTGCTGCTGTTGTTGTTCCTGATGTTTTTGCTTTTGCTATTGTTGCTGCTGTCATTGCTGTTGTTGTTGCTGATGTTGCTACTGTTGTTCCTACTGTTGCTACTGCTATTGTTGTTCCTGCTATTCCTGTTGTTCCCGCTGTTGCTGCTGTTGCTGCTGTTGTTCCTGCTCTTGTTGCTGCTACTCCTGTTGTTATTCCTGCTGTTGTTGCTATTGTTGTTGCTGCTACTGCTGTTGTTGTTCTTGCTGTTGATGTTATTTCTGTTGCTGCTGTTTCTGTTATTATTGTTGCTGCTGCTGCTGTTGCTGCTGTTGCTGCTGTTGTGTTCCTGCTGTTTCTGTTGTTTTTTGTTGCTGCTGCTATTGTTCCAGCCGCTGTTGTTCTAATTGTTGCTGCTGTTGTTGTGCTTGCTGTTGTTGCTGTTGCTGATGTTGTTACTGCTATTACTATTATTCCTGCTATTGCTGCTGCTGCTGTTACTGCTGTTGTTGTCATTCTTTCTATTGGTGTTGTTACTGATATTGTTCTTGTCGTTGTTGCTGCTGTTGATTCTGTAGCTGATGTTGGTGTTTCTGGTGTTGTTGTTGTTCTTGCTATTATTGTTGTTCATACTATTGCTATTGCTGCTGTTGTTGTTCCTGCTGTGGTTGTTATTGTTGTCACTGCTACTTTCCTGCTGTTGTTGCTGTTGTTGTTCCTGCCATCATTGTTGCTGCTGATGTTTTTGTTGTTGCTGTTCCCACTATTGTTGTTTCTGCTGCTGCTGTTCCTGTTGCTACTGCTGTTGCTGCTGCTGCTGCTGCTGTTGTTGCTACTGTTGTTGCTATTGCTGAAATTTTTGCTGTTGCTATTGTTCCTACTTTGTTGCTGCTGTTGCTGCTATTGCTGATGCTGTTGTTCCTGCTGCTATTGTTCCTACTATTGCTGTTGTTGCTGTTGCCAATGTTGTCGCTACTGTTGTTCCTGCTGTTGTGGTTCCTACTATTGCTGTTGCTATTGTTACTGTTGTTCCTGCTACTGTTGCTGTTGCTGATGCTATTGTTACTGGTGTTGTTGGTGCTGCTATTGTTCCTGTTGCTGTTGGCATAGAGACACAGGGATTGCAGCAAATTTGCCTGGGCCTCCATGTCAGGAGTCTGAGAGGACTCCAGCACCACTACATGATTTCGGTGAGCTTCTGCTACACCCCCTGTCTCAGACTGGCCGAGAAATTGAGGCAGGATAAGCACCTCCAGGTGGGAGGAATTCTGGGAGGAGCTGGGGGACCCAGGAACAGCCCCACACTGCATTTCAATATTATGATCAACAGGAACATGTCCACAGGTCATGTCTGGGAACAACAAAATGAAGAAGGCAGCATTTCTACGATGAGTATCAGCAACATCGTGGTATTCATAAAGACAAGACGAATAATTGAGAAAACTTACAATTTGAACACATTTTTAATTGATTTTTCACTTGTTTAACTGTTGGAAAGTAAACTTGAGTAAATAATTTTTGAAGTTCTACTTGCAGAATTGATAACAGTATCTAGATTTTGCAATCATTGTTTTCAACTGATACAAGATTAAATTTAGACATTCCCACATTCTCTATATCACAGAAGGATGGAACACGTTAAATAAGGAACTTAGGCCAGTCCCACTCTTAGACGAGAGTTTCAGGAACCCCTCCATCTACATTAGTTACTCACTGTCTGTCTATTTCCTTTTCAAGACTCACCACTAAGAATATACTTCAAGACTGATCCTAGACAAGGCTTATACCCATTTTTGTTCCATATTTATTATGTATTTTATTTTGATATTCAGCCTCCTCATAATTTCTTTCTCCCTTCTCCATTTTTGTTTTATTATTGCAGACCAAGAAAAAATAGAGAAAAGATGATTTACTTCCAAGTCAAGAAAGTAGACATTCCCCTAAGCTAAGAAGAGAGATCACTCCCGCTATGGCCTTGCTTGATGACACAAAGCCAGAATCAGCTGCTTCTCCATTCATCATAAAGCCCATACAATTCAACCTTACTTTCCTTTGAACCCTACTAATCTAGATTCATAGTCAAATGGAGTTTGTTGTATTACTGCAGGAAAATCCACCCATGGGATCAAATCCTGCCAAGCCCCTCCAGCTCACTGGATTCCCAACACCCCTAAGACAGTTTTCTGGGAATTTTTTTCATCTTTGTGTTTATTTTATTCCTTCATCTGAAATGATATCAAACCAAACACATAGGGGAATTGTAGGTCTGGGAAACAGAACGGAAAAGATCTGAAAAACAAGAAAGTTGGGAGCAGAGAGCCTGTTTTCTTAAAGAAATAACACATCTAAGGCAATATCAGGTTGACCAGAATGTACATCAAGGCCTTTCAGTGTCATATATGAAGAACTTTTAAAATACATTGATTGTTTTGAGATCAGACTTTAAAGGACCCTGCAGTAAAAGAATCAGGACTACAGTTTGAGTAATCACTAAGCCTTTTATATTTAGACAGGGTAAATGGAAAAGTGTGCCTTCTGCAAAAACTCTTGAGAAGAGATTGACAAAGAGCGGTGTTGAAGTTGGCATTTTTAAACCATGGATGATAGTGTTTCAGTCCAGTAAAAATTCCTCTGAATTTGTGGTTCTAAAAGATTATAATAATATTTTCCAAAGTAATATAGAAAATAGATTTTTAAAACCTAAATATCATAAGACCTATAATGAAAAAACAAAAAGTTCCTTGTCCCATTTCACATCTACCAACTCCTCAGAGAAAATTTCCAACTATTTTAGCTATTTTTTCCACTGAGATTCATCTTCATATATTTAAACAGCTTGCCTTACATTGACATCTCTTGATTTTTAGTTTTAAATGCTATCTACTGACTTTTTTAATATAAAAGACGAAGATGTAGTTCTTTTCACCTCTCCCCTCAACCCAGCACACAACTTCTCTCCCCCTGCAAACTCTGTTATCAAATTTTTATTAAATAAAACAGTCAACATTCACATCATTATGGCTATGTAACCATCATTAACAGCTGAGCCACATAGAATGCTGTGATTATGCTCTCTTTCTCTTACATTTTGTTTCTCCTAAACCTTGGTTTTTATTGCTTTGTTTTCTGTATACTCATCATTAATTTTCTCCCAACTCTCTGATAGAACAATAAATCTCCTCTCGATGCACTCAAGCACAGCACAGATTGGTTCCTGCTGCTCCTTCCTGGGAGAAGCCCCCCTGGGCCTGCAGCCCTCCTGCTCCACTGCAGCCTGGCCGGACACTAGACCTGCTGCACAGCTGTTGTCCTGGGCTCTCCTTTCCCCACCTTGCTGAGCATTCCCAGTGCCTCTTTCTTGTGTTGGATCCCCTGTCTCCTAGATCCCAGGTCATCCTCATTCTTGGGTTTATTCCTCATTTTGAAGAAACACATCCTCCTGTGCCATTCTGAGAAGAGCACACACTTGTCCTATATTCTCTTCTGTAGCATCAGGAGTTGAAATCTGCAAACTACACATCCCTGGCCCTGTGCCCTCTGGCTTCCTACAAGGCTCTACCAGTGGGTAGCACCGACCCAGTAAGAAGGTAGGAGCAAGAGAGAAGCCATTTTATCCTACATCATAAAGGAGTCTTGGGCAGCTGCAGTAACAGCTGCTGGCACCCCAAACCAGAAGGATGGAAGCTCCTGGTCTCTGCTCAGTAACACTAGCGTGGCTCTAACAGCAGAAGTGCCATGTCAGCTTCATGGCAATAACGGGCTCTCAGGCTCCAGCCGGGAGCAATCCCGCCTTCTGGTCTTGTGTAGTCACCCTCTTCTCTCTAGCACACTTTTCTTCCATTTGCTCTACCAGCAATTTGTTAACAAGTGTCTGTATTAAATTGCCTCTCTTTGAAATACCTATATAGTTTCTGTTTTGCTGATTAAATGTGGATCAATATTCCACTTAAGACTAGAAGCAGACCACACCTAGGAAAGAGATGCCCAAATATGGGAATCTGCAATTTGTTAAATAATGGGATTGGGCTGAGCACACAGCATCAGGGAAAGTGGGCTAATGATAGTGTCTATCTATGACATTCACTGGCAAAACGCTTACTTAAATTATAGCTGAGACAACCTGAAAGGAAGTGCCTGTTCAAAGCAAGAATTTGGGAGGCCAAGGGGCTGTTGAATTTGATCACTACAGTGGAAATTATGGCCACAAAGGCTCTGGGATAGAGCTGGCTGCTCCTGAGTCCATGGGAGGAATCACAAAAAGAAAATAAACAGCAGCTATTACTGCAGCTGCCCAAGACTCCTTTATGATGTAGGGTAAAATGGCTTCTCTCCTGCTCCTACCTTCTTATTGGGTCGGTGCTACCCACTGGTAGAGCCTTGTAGGAAGCCAGGGGGCACAGGGCACAGGGCCAGGGCTTTAAAATACCAAGTTGAGGAATTTCCAGAGAAATGGAGTGCTCCCTATAGTGGCTTTAAAAGACATTGTTTTGTTTTGTGGAGATACAGCTGATATCATTGAAGAGCAGACTCCAAACATGATGCTGTGGGTTAAGAACTACATCATATGAATGGATAAAGGAGATGTGGTACATATATGCAATGGAATACTATTCAGCCATAAGAAGAAGACAAATCCTACCACTTGCAGCAACATGGATGGAGCTAGAGGATATTATGCTCAGTGAAATAAGCCAGGCAGAGAAAGACAAGGACCAAATGATCTCCCTCATTTGTGGAGTATAAGAACAAAGAAAAAACTGAAGGAACAAAACAGCAGCAGAATCACAGACTCCAAGACGGGACTAGCAGTTACCAAAGGGAGGGTGTGGGGGAAGGAGAAGGTGATTAAAGGCCATTATGATAAACACACATATGTAGGGGGTCATGGGGAAGGCAGTATAGCACAGAGAAGACAAGTAGTGACTCTGTAGCATCTTACTACACTGATGGACAGTGGCTGCAGTATGGTGTGCAATGGGACTTGATAAATATGGGTGAATGTAGTATAACCACAATATAGCTCATGTGAAAACTTCGTAAGATTGCATATCAATGATACCTTAATAAAAAAATTAAAGAACTACATCATAGGTTGAATTCATAGCCTAGCTGTATCTCTTAAATGAAAGGTACCCAATGGGTAGAAGTAGTGGACCCTGAGAAATGAAGTGGAGACTATGAATCTGAAAAATCTTGAATCCCCAAATCCCCTGAACCTCCTTAGCCAAAAGAAAAAGCCCTATCTTCCTTTATTTAAGAAGAAAAATATTTCTTTGCTTGAATACTTTCAATGTCCTCATCTTACATATGTACCTTAAGTAGGGATACCAGGACTCCTCAGGAGCCCCCCCCACCCTCATATTAGTGCCCCTCATATGTCTAGGGTAGATTCCAGTATGTCTCAAGGTGTAAGTAAAGAAGTTTGTCTAGGGAAAAGATAGCTACACATGCAAAGAATTTCAGGATTTTATACCATATCAACAGAAACCTGTGGAGTAATTTAGGAATAAATTGCTGTGATGCTAGGCTCAAGAGGATGAAACACAATGTCAGATCAGGTCAAATTTGTTGCTATGCATGTTCTAACTAAAGCTTCCAGAAATAACATGCTAGCTGAGGCATATGGCTCTATCTATAATAGTTTGTAGACCAGAAACCTGAGAAAATCAGCTATCAAGGAGTATTCCCATAATTTGAAATAAGGAGGACTTCTTAGGTAAGAACAAAATCCAAGAGACATAGAGTGAAAGAATGACTGATCCATGTGATTACACAAAACAAGACTAAACTAATGAGGCCAGCTGTGTAACACACACCCTCACGCGCACACCCAAACAAGTTTAATAGATGAGCTACAGATTTGAGAAAATATTTGCAACATATATAAAATATCCAAAGGGCTAATATCCAAAAGAAATAAAGAGCTACTAAAAATCAGTGAGAAAGAGGCAGTAAAATAGAAAAAAATAATGGTCCAAGAAGACAAATATTTATTTATAGCAGTAACATAAAGGTAGTTATTTAAATTATTAAAAAGATGTGAAGTCTCATTGTTTATCAGGAAAATACAAATAACAATGAAATATTTTTCTCTCATCAGATTAATAAAATTAATAAAATCAATATCAAGTGTGGACGAGAGTGTGAAGGAACTTTCACGTATTGTCGGCAGGAGTATTGATTGACATGTTCTTTAGGACGGCAATTTGACAGTGTCCATCAATAATAGAAACGTGTATGTCTGTGTCCAGACAGTTTCACCCTAGATATCTATCTTTGAGAAATGCAAATATGCACACAAAAGAATCTCAGAGACATACATTGCATCATTTGTAGATGACAACAAAAATTGGAAATAACCAAATTCCTTAAATATGAGAAATGCTTAAATGAACTATGGTACATCCACTCATCAATTACAAAGGAATGAAAAGGATTTATAACTGCTCCATAGAAAGGTCCCCACAACACAGGGCAGATTAGGATTTACCCCTAACTAATGACTTAGTCAGGGGAAGTCTGGAACTGGAGAGTGCACAAGGATAGTTTTTTAGATTGTTCTATAATTCTTGCATTTTCATGTTTTCATGTGCATGTTCATAGCATATGTTCATGCTATTTTTAAAAACAAATTACTAACTCTGGAAAGCAGTTTGGTGGTTTTTTAAAAACCTAAGTATGCAGTTAGTAAATGACCCCAGATGATTGCACTCCAGGCATTTATTGCAGAGAAAGGAAAACCATGTCCATACAAAATCTATACACAATTATTCACAGCAGCTTTATCTGTAATAGCCAAAATCTGGAAATAACCAACATGTCCCTCAATAAGTGAATAAACAAATGGTGGTATATCCATGTCAGGAAATACTACTTAGCAAGGATAGCAACAAATGAGTGATACACACACAACTTGAACAAATCTCAAGGGCATTATGCTGAGCCATAAAAGCCAATCTCAAGAGCTCATTCATGAAAGAAAAAGCTATAGGGATGGAAAACAGGTTAGTGGTTGATTATGGTAGTGGTTACATAAATCTACACATGAGAAAATGACAGAACTATACTCACATATTGTATCAATATCAATTTCCTGGTTTTGATATCATCCTATAATTATGTGAGATGTAACCTTTAGGGGGAAACTAGGTGAAGAGGACCCAGGACCTCTCTACTATCTTTGCAGCTTCCTGTGAATCTATAGTTATTCCAAAATAAAGTTTTAAAAAATAAATGATTAAAAATAGAGTATTTTAAAAAAACTAAATGCTACAGGGGTCCAAAAGGGCCATTTCTTTGTAGCAATGTTTTTTAAAGTCATTGATCAAGATGTCTTTAAAATCTAAAGAAAACTATGATTCCTCTGTCCAAAAAAATATGTGCCACAAACTTATATGAACTTTATTGATCCCTCATTAAGTTAAGAGCTTCTTGTTGTAGACACAGGGATTCAGCACACTACAGTCCATAAGCCAAGTATATCTGTCACCTGTTTTTTTAAAAAGTTTTATTGGCACATAGCCATGGCCATTCATTTCTATACTGTCTATGGCTGTTTTGGAGTCACTAAAGCAGAGTAAATAGTTGCTACAGAGATTCTCTGGCCCACAAAACTTAAAATATTTACTATCTGCCCCTTTATGGAGAAAGTTTGCTGATCCTTGGGTAGAATTTTGCCTCCGTAAACCAGAAGGAACATTAGAATAAAAAAATAATAAGAGCACAGAGTAAGCAAGATAATTGGCATTCTCAAATCAGCATTGTTTTTCCGTGTGCCTGGAATTAAACACCATTCTTTGTAGGCAGGAAACAGACATATAGTCTGATAAAAAAGGTAACAATTTGGAAAGAAGAGCTAACATTTACAAAGCATCTTTGTGAGTTGAGGGGTTCTGTGCTCAGCACTGTTGGACATGGCCTCCCCTGACTCTCTCCCTGAAAGGTCCCAAGGTGGGCCGGGCTGCCATCTCCTGGGACCAAGCTGCCCAGGTGCCCAGGGTGTGGTGATCC